GGTGGTCCTACGTACGGGACCTTGTCTTTAAATGGAGGTAAGGAGGGGGGTCTGTTTACCCCCTACTCCCCTTCATATAAAAATTACAGGCAGGAGTTTTTTCGGGTTACTCTTGCTGGTGTCAACCCTTTGGAGGACGGGGGATTCTACTTTGGCGGGCTGCCAAGGTTTCCTTTCTATTGGTGCCACGACCCTGTTGGGTTTCATGGGGTGGATCCGTCGAAGCTAACGCTGTCGGAGACGGCTGCTGTTGAAGCTTTGAAGGCACTTCCTCGACCGCTGGACTGCAAGTTCATCCTGTCGCTCGAGCGTTCGGCGCACAGGGAGAGAGACTTGGAGGGTGGGGATCTTGTTGTTTTCGTTTAGCTGTTGGGGTTTAATGCCTGCTGATGTGCTCTGATTTCTGTACTTAGGTATTGTGGGAAGGGACCTGTGGTGTGGCTAGAAGCAGCGTTATGGCTACAATGTGGCCGAGCTTGAGGGTCCTGAGGTCTAGGGGGAGGAGGAGGTCTCCCCCCTGAAGATAAACCGGAAGAGGAAGAGGGTCCCGGGGGAGACCGGGGGAGTCGCTGCCCCTCCCGAGGCGGAGGGGGTCGCTCCAGGGGCCTTCGGTGTCGAGGCGACGGGCTCAACTGGGACCTCTCTATTGGAGGGGGGGCTCGGGTGGCGCAGCCGGATATCGAGCCCCTCCGCCCTTCTGCTAGAGTGCCTGTGCAGGCTGCTGGTCGAGGGGTAGGGACTATTTGTCACCTTGTTAGCTTTTCCTTTGCATGCTTTTGCTTAGTGTTTCTGAGTTGGGATCGTTCCTCGTAGGTGGAGGCTGTCGTTGGGTCGACTTCCCGGGCCGTTGGCCAGGCTGGTGTGCCTTCTGAAGCGGAGATTCCGACCGTTGGGCGGCTTGCTCCTATTGTTGAGGTGGGCAGCATGTGGCTGTGATCTGCTACATTGTTGCGTCTCTTGTTTAGTTGGTGAAATTTTTATATTTTTTTGCTCTATATTTTTTGTAGGCGGGGAGCACCGCAGGGGTTTCTGATGGTCGAAGGTCACCGGTGGTGGGGGGTAACGTCCCGGCGACTGGACTAGCGGTTGGGCCGGTGGCCTCCTCTTCCTCAACCGATCGTCGTGGTGAGGGCTCTGGCTCTAGGGCTCCGGATCCTACGCCTGCGACGAGGGGGCCGCCCAAGCGTCCCTACCTTGCGTATCGTTATGCGCAGGAGGGTGCGCCAACACGGTTGGAGCACCTGAGTGCGTCGGAGGGGATCGACTCTTGGTGGAGCGTCTCGCTGACGTCTGAGAAGTTTTTTCCGCAAGGCTCCTTGAGTGCGGCCGATCAGGCGATGTTTGAATCCGCCGAGCCCGTGGCAAGTTTTGACGCTGCCCAGATCTTTTTGCAGAGGGGCACGACCATTGTGGATTATTGGAAGCGCAAATGGTCCCGGCAGCAGGAGGAGTTATCAAGGTTGAAGGGTCAGGTGCAGCCCTTGATGGAGGAGAATAAAGTTTTGACCGCCACTCTGCTCGAGGCGAAGCTGCAGGGGGTCGAGCTTTAGGAGGCGCAGAGGGATCTTGCCGAGGCCCGGGGATCGTTAAAGGCGGCCCTCCGTTCTAACGAGGCTTATGCTAGCCAGGTTCGCTCTCTGGAGGAGGAGATATCCTTTTGGAAGGGTGAAATGGCGTCTGTATCTGAGGAACGTCTTTGCGACGAGGTGGTCCTCAGAACTAAGGAGGCAGAGGTGGTCCATCAGAGGGAGAGTCTTTCAGCTCTAGAGGCCGAGAATGCCGCTTTGAGGAAGAGACTCGAGGAAGTCGAGCGCTCAATCGTGGTGCAACATAAGAGAGGCTTTCTCAAGGCGGCCCGGCAGGCTAGGCTTCTTGCGCCGGGGTTCGACCTTTCCGGGATGCACTTGGAGAAGGTTGTCCGCTTCAGGCGATTAGTCCGAGAGGACGACGTCGAGGAGAGTTCTAGTGACAATGCCTCTGTATAGGATAATTTTTGTATTTCATGTTTCTGACTGTCTTATGGATTATACTTCTCAGTTATGCAAGTTTTGTTTAGGTGTTGCTATTTCCACCCTGATTTTTGTTATCACGAAGTTCAGACTGGCTTTTTGCCCTGTGTTTTTGGTGGTGAGGTTTATTTGCAACCGTTAATAATGAGGTTTCTTTTTGTCTTGTGACGGGGTAAGATGGGGTTCGTTTGCGACCTCTATTTGAGTGAAGTGAGGTTCGTGTTCGACCTACATTTGGGTGACGTGAGGTTCGTGCTCGACCTCTATTTGAGTAAAGTGAGGTTC